TAATACAAATAACAAATTAAGGCTAATTAAGTTTTTAACTAAAAAAATTTAATAAATAGTATGTTAAGTATTAATTATTAATATTAAAAAGATTAGTTCATGCTTTGGTAGATGAAAAGGCAAGACCATTTCCTTTTCTTTTTTTCTTTTTTCTTTTTTTTTGCAATATGTTAATTAGTAATAATTAAAACTTAAAAAGTGAAAAATATAAACGTTAAAAGATAGAAAGTTAAGGCATTTAAGACACATAAATGTAGAAAAAGACATGGGGATGGATTCAGGGATTGGGAGATGAAGAAACAATACTATTTAAACATTCAAAAACAAAAATAAATAAATAAATAAAAGATTGCATTAAACATTAAATAGTATTTCTCCATGTCCTTCCATCTTCATACTTGATTATATATAAACCCTTGCTTTTCTCTATATCAATATATTATATTCTATCATCTTCATATCTTTAATTTCTTTTTGCTAATATGAAGAGTTCTAAATATTATTTTTCTTTTTGTTTATTATTTCATATTGTAATCACTCATAAAAATCGAGTAAACTAAAACGATAAAAGTATTGATTCATACACTAAATTAAACAAGACATGTATGAATTTGATAGAGATCTCAAGTTTTATGAAAATTTTATTTTTTATTTTATTTATATTATACTATTGTTAACTTTATAAACATAAATTCTATTTCACATTCCTTTTAAATTATATATATATCCAATATTATTGCCACATAAATTTGGGAATATGCATTCAATTATAGTAAAATTTTATTCAAATCACTTTCTTTTTATAACTTTGATTTGATCACTTATATTAACATATTAAAATAATTTGTAATACAAGTTAAGAAATAGAATAGAAAAAGAAAAAGACAGAAAATTAGAAATGATAGAAGGGATAAGAAAACAAACCATAAAATACTTTTGCAAGTTAAGCAATTATAGAAAAGAGAGTTGATAAAGACTTATGTAAAAAAGAAAAAAAAAAATTGTTGAATACTTTCTCTTATTTTATAATACTTTATGTAGATCTTGCATATTCAAAATAACTATAGTTTGATTTTTTTTTATTAAAATAATAGTTTGATACTTTTTAACCTCAATTTTTAAGGATTATAAATTTGATTAAATAAGAATTAAAAATAATTGAGGAAGATGAAAAACAATAATAATAGAAGTATGAGATAAAAATTATTTAATTATTAGATTAGCAATTAATAAAATTTATATTAAAAATGGAAAAAAAATGCTACCCTATGTATAAAGAAAATCTATATATCCAACAATGAATAATTTATATATCTATATCTATATATATATATATAAAATGCTACCCTATGCATTAAATAGGGTAGCATTTTATATATATTTAATATATAATAATAATATAATAATATATATTTATTATTTATTA